CAGAAAATTTCCTATGCAGATGCAGGTCTTCGTATAGACCCCATATATCAGTACCTCCCTATATTCGGTATTTTGACGATTTTAGGTACAATACCAACCGAAATTGTTTGAGATTTCGTATTTGAAGTTCGTGATAGATGCTACAGCCCGTGACAATACCAACCGAAATTGTTTGAGATTTCGTATTTGAAGTTCGTGATAGATGCTACAGCCCGTGACAGAAAATTGTCTATGCTGGTTCAGGTCTTCGCACAGCTCCGATATAACGATACCTCCCTATATACGATATTTTGATGATTTAAGCTTCATTATTAACCGTTTATTACAATTTTCGATCTTGAATAGGTCCACGTCGTATAGACCCCAATACAACGGCTATATTCGGTATTTTTAAAATTTTAACAGATTTTTTTAAGGATTTTATTTATTTATTTATTTTTTTTTTTTGAAAATTTTCAAATTCGTTCCAAATGGTGGAGGGTATTCAAAGTACGGCCCGAACTCAATGCCTTTTAATTTGTTTTTTAATTTTATTAAATGAAACAAAAAATTTGGAAATAGCATCAAATTTTAGAATAAGTTTAGATTTGTTCCAATTGGTCACCTTTGGCACAAAATATGACCTTCAAACGGCCAGTGAAACCGTCACACACTGCCCGAATGTTGCTCTGCGATATTTTGGCCCATTCTCCAACAAAGCGCTTGCTTGAGGTGATCGGCACTTTGTTATTTTTTAGTGCCAACCTTGCTTTCTAAAATACTCCAGACACAATAGTCCAACGCATTGGTATCCGGAGATTTTCGTGGCTATATGCGCTGGAAATAAAGCGATGAACCTCATTTTGTAACCATTCTTGGGTGGCTCATGCGCAGTCTTGTTAGAATGTCCAAGATCTGCGGCCAAACTGTTTGGGTGACCAAGGCTTTAATATACCCTTCAGAATATTTTCGTGATAATATTCCGCATTTATTTGATTAATACGAGCGGAGAGCGACCATCTGTTGTTATGGCGACCCACACCACTACCATGGCCGGCGCTTGAGTTCTGGTGGCCAACAAAAGTGCACATTTTCACCTGACCTCTTTTCACTTTCTTATTTTTTAGTGCCAACCTTGCCTTCCAAAATACTCCAGACACAATAGTCCAACGGATTGGTATCCGAAGATTTTTGTGACCATTGTGCGCTGGAAATGAAGCGAGGAATCTTATTTTGTAACCAATCTTTGGTGGCGCATGCTGGGTGCGACCAGATTATTTTCGCGATAACATTAGGCCTTTAATCTGATGCCACGGTCGATTAATTCGAGCGGAGAGCGACCATCGGCTGTTATGGCAGCCCACACCATCACCATGACCGACGCTTGAGTTCTGGTGGCCTACCGAAGGTACATATTTTCAGCTGACCTCTTTGGCAGTGTTGCCGTTTTGGGCGTTTCCGTCCAAATTTGGGCGGAAAATGATAAATTTTGTGGTTTGGGCGGATTTTTTCCATATTGGGTACAAATTTATTTTTCATTGTTTATTTTTACGTAATTTAATTTTTTTATTACTAACTGAATTTTTTTATTTTTTTATTGAAATGAATCGTTACTTATTTTATAGATTTTTGTTAAGTTTTTTAATAATATATATAATACATTAGGCTATAGTCGTGCGGGGCCGACCATGTGATACCCTACAACACTACATTATGTTAGAAGCCCCCTCATGTCCAAATCCATTTTGGAAGATTTTGCTTTTGAAATTATGTCACGAAGCCCTGCCCAGATATTACCCTTAGCATTTTGACCAGGGATATTTTCCCAATATCTGTGCACTCCGTCGTGCTGTTAGTTTTTGTGGTCCATTTTACGGCTAAATATATTCCAATGGTCATCCAAAATGCCAGAATTCTTCCCTGTGCTTACCTATGTTCTCAGGCGTGTCGGTTGGCTTCAATTGTGTGATCAAGAAGATTTTTTTTCTGTTTTTGGTTCATTTAAACCCCTAAATATTTTGCGATCATCTCCAAGAGCAAGAGGCCCCTCTGTGTCTCCAAATTTAGACTCATCTATATGATTTGCTTGTCTACGATATTTGCCTATATTCGTCAATGAAAGTAAGCAAAGGCTGTCGTCGTGCGGCGCCGACCATGTGATACCCTACAACACTACAATATGTTAGAAGCCCTTTTATGTCCAAATCCATTTTGGGAGATTTCGCTTTTGAAATTATGTCACGGAGTACTGCCCAGATATTACCCTTAGCATTTTGACCAGGGACATTTGCCAAATATTTACGCTGTAAGTTGTTGTGGTCCATTTGACAGCTTAATAAAATTCAATGGTCATCTAAAATGCTAGAATTCTTCCCTGTTCTTAACTCTCTTCTCAGACGTGTCGATTGGAGATTTTCTGTTTTGGATTCACTTGAACACCTAAATATTTTGCGATTATATCCAATGCAAGAGGCTTCCTGTATTTTCAAATTTAGACACATCTATATGATGTGCTTGTCTACGATACTTGGCTATATTCGTCAATGAAATCAGCATTAAAAAGGCAGAAGTTCGCCTTTTGTGTATTTCGGATATGGCGTGTAAGAATGTTGGAAAGTAGTGGTCCATCGCTGTCCTAAACTCTAACTTCATGCGAGATTTCGTGTCCTTTGGTTTCTATTTGTGACCTTTATAACGGCTGCAAAATCAGGAATATTTTGAGTTGCAGGTCCATTTCAACCCCTAAATATATTGCGGACATCTTCGAAACAATAGGCTAAGCCCTTCTGAGCCTAACCTTACCTTTGTGAAAAATTTCGTGAGGATCGAACGATAATTGCAATCTGTATATAAATAATAACCCTAACCTGTGTTGTAAAGTGAAAAAATATTACAAAACAAATACTTCAATATTATAAGTCAATTTGAAAAAATCGCATGCGATAAAAAAAATCTATATGAACATCATTATTGGTATCTTTTTTATGCGACTTTTTAGTATTTATACATTAATGCCACAAGGGCATTCTAAATTGACAAAATTTGTCAAAATCGCTCCAGCCATTCTGAAGATATAAGCATTCTAGCTGACATCCCCTTCCTTTGTATATATACATTGTATATATTTCTCTATATATATCCGATAATTTTACTATCGGCATCTACGTAACGGTCAGAATTGACCTGTTCGTCTATTTGTGATTTCGCCGGCAGTAAAAATATTCGCGAATTAATGGAAAAATTTACTTTTATTTATCGCAAATGATATGGTCTACTAAACCACTAGCAACTGCAAAATCAGGAAATTTTTCAGTTTTTGGTCCATTTCAACCCCTAAATATTATGCGATCATCTCCAAAAGGGTTCTATTCTGACCTTAACCCCAGCTACATTCTAAATTTCGTGAAGATCGGGCCATAAATGCGACCTGTAGAGTGATTACAAATTAATATGGACAGACGGACAGATGGACGGACGGACATACATAGCTAGATCGACTCAGCTCGGCGAGATAGGAAGATTCATATATACTTTCCTATGTGGGAAACCAATATTTCGTGGTGTTACATAATTTTTGGCCCAGTTATAATACCCCCAACACCTGAATAATAATAATGACTTTAATATATTTAATACATTGAATTCTTGTATTATGTTACTTTTTCAAATATATATATATATATATATATATATATATATATATATATATATATATAATATATATAAAAAAAAACTACAAGTAAAATAATATAAAATTGAGTACCTTTTTTATGTATAGTGTAAAATTTTCAATACAATTTACTTGAATACAAACTACATGTAAATTATTCAACTTTTTACAGTTTGGGCGGATATATATATATATATATATATATATATATATATTTATATATATATATATATATATATATATATATATATATATATATTTATATATATAAATATATATATATATTTATATATATATATATATATATATATATATATATATATATATATATATATATATAATATATATAAAAAAAAACTACAAGTAAAATAACATAAAATTGAGTACCTTTTTTATGTATAGTGTAAAATTTTCAATACAATTTACTTGAATACAAACTACATGTAAATTATTCAACTTTTTACAGTTTGGGCGGATATGGTCGATTTTGGGCGGTTTTTAGAAAAAATTTGGGCTGAAATAAAAATTTCAAACGGCAACACTGCTCTTTGGCACGAAGAACACGATCACTTTGTTTGTTTACAAATTGCTGGACAACGAATGTTTTCTGATCGGAGAAGACAATTCGACAGTTCACCACTTTCGGCCAAGCGAAGCAACTCTTAAGCTCTTTTGAATCTACTTTCTTTCTGTTGCGGTATTAGTTCTTGCACTTTTTAGAATTTCAATGGCTTTACCCCGAGCTCATTTTTCAATATTTGCCGAATGGAATATTGCCATTTGTTCAGCTCACGAGCCATTTTTCGGCCACTGCGACGCGGGTTTCGATCAAGTCGCTTTATTACTTTTCAAACCATTTCTGCTGATGTTGGTGTTTTCTTCCGTCCACTTCCTTGACGTCGGGCTATGCTACCAGAATCACGGTAACGAGCGATGGACGAGCCACAAAAGATTTATTCTCATTTAAATGCTGGAGTGTTCTACGATAGCCATTTGTGGTTTTCCAGCCAAATATAAAGAAATCACACTAATACGATGAATTCCATCACGAGTAAAATTTTTTTCTGAAAAAATCTCACCAAAACGCCTTTGTACGCTTGTAAACAATATAATGAGCTGTCACTGCCATAATTTTAACAGCTGTCGGTCAAGTGGCTTAGAAATGGCAGCAGTCTGAATTTGGCTGCAGTTTTTCCATTTCACCCTGTATATTTTATTTGCTGCATATCCTACGTCTCCACCATCAGTACATGAAGCCCACTGAATATTTTATATAAACAAATATTAACCCCTCTCCAAACCGAATACCACCAAACCCATACAACGACTTAACATATAATCTCACACTTCCTTTACACACAATACATCATACAGATTCTCATTTTATTATTATAACTATTATTTTGTTTACAATAACTCTATATAAAGACATCACAATAAATATTAGTAAATATATATTTGATTTTTGAAAATATATAATTTTGTAATTGATGTTGTTGTTGTTTTTCTCTCTTCATCATCATAAGCAATTGATACAGAATCACATAGAAATAATAGAAGAACATGCATACAGATACGTAATGTAGGTAATGGAACACAGGTGTCCATTTTTTTGTTGTTGTTGTCATTTTATTCGGTACTGGAGAGTAGGCCTTTTTCTCGAAGTTTCATAGTAACCATTTTTCATTTAAGCTTCTTCAGTTTCAGCTGCTTCCAATTGTTTGCGACTGGGCTGCCATGGTGAAATTAATTAAAAAAAGATATTGAATGACAATGTTTTTGGCCCCATTGCTAATTATGAAATAGCGGAACTTACCTTGGGTTGCATAAGAATGAATGGTAGCTCGGCGCACAACTCACCACCCAATGCACCCAAAAATAGTTTGACCTTAACGGCATAGGAAACAATTATGCCAAAAGCATCACGGGCATCTGGACTGGCAATCCTGTAGAAAACAGACAGCAGTGCTCCATTTCATTAGAAATGAAAAAGAATATGGGAATGGTATGCGAAAATTTCAATGAAGGTGACAGTGAAATAAACAATTTTTTTTTTTTTTTTTGCCATTGGAAAATAACTAAAATCGGAGGTATAATACAAATGTTGTACCAAAAGGTGGACCTATATTGATCATATTTTTTTAAATATGTATTATTTTATAAGAATTCTAAATGCCCAAAATTTGGTTAAATTAAATGGAAAAATGACCACAACGCAAAAAACCCTTGATACTGGAGTTATCCTTAAAAGTACTATTCCAAAAAGTGGAGGAATATGAACCATTTTCGTTTCCAATGATTCTAGGTGTCATTCAAAGATTTCAATACAATTTCAAAGCAATATTTCATACTCTCAGCCTCAGGCTACAGAGGGTATACACATTTGATACGGCCAAAACGTGTCTCATCGAAATAACGGTTTTATATCCTAGTTGTCTTTGGAGTCGATCTGGCGATGCTGGTTGGTGCGCACGATAATATTATTATCAAACTTAGACCAAGTTCGGAGATGGGCAATATCGGTCGACTCCTTCTGGTACCTCCCCCAGGAAAGTTCAAAATTTTCAAAAAAAAAAAGTATTTTACTGCAGAAAAAGAGAAAGGATAATCCGATTTTTGCTCCAACTTTCCTAATATATGCATCAACGCTATGTCAGGTGCGCAAGCTCTTCTTTCATAATCTGCTAAAATTTTCCACGTAATTATTTTTTGTGTTGTACAGTGTAATCCTCACTAATTGTACTTTTTGAAGCCACCAAAATTCTTTAAAGTCTCCAAATCAAAGTTTGGAATACGTTTTCAGACTTCCTTATATTCTTCAAAAGATTCCCGCTAGTTGTCCTTTTAGAGCTTCTTAAAGATTCTTTAATAAAAACTCCATAAAAAAATTTTAATTGACTCCCTTAAAAAATCTTTCAAAAACAGACGTTAATTGTCCTAAAATTCATTAACAAATCCACTTCAATTATAAATTCTGAATTGTGATTTTAGGGCCTCTTGAAATGCTTTGAAAAATAAATTTTAATTGTTCTTTTTTGAACCTCTTGAAGTTGTTTAAAAAATTAATTTTATTTCTCTTTTTCGGAACCTCCTAAAAATAATTGCTGTTTAAAAAATCCAGTTTAATCGTTTCTTTAGAAGCCTCCAAACTTTTTTTTTAAATCTGCATTAACTGTATCTTTAGGGGACTCCTAAAATTCTCCAGAAATTTTTTAAAAAAACCTAAGCTTTGAGTCCTTTTTAGAACCCCAAGAAAACCTTTAAATAATTTACGTTTAGAGTCCTTTTAAGAACCTCCAGAAAATTTTGAAAAAATCTATGCGTAGAGTCCTTTTTAGAACCTCAATAAAGTCTTTAAAAAATCTACGCTTAGAGTCCTTTTTAGGACCTCCAGAATATCTTTAAAAATCCACTCTTAATGTCCTTTTTGAGAACTCCTGGAAACCGTAAAAAATCTACGCTAACAAACCATTTTTGAAAATAATTAACACATCCACGTTTAGAGTCATTTTTGAGAATTCCTGGAAATCTTAAAAAAATCTACGAAAAGAGTCTTATTTAGGACCTCTTGAAAATCTTTATAAAAACTTACGCTTATAAACTTAGAGAGAATTCCTGGAAATCTTTAAAAACCCTACCCTAAGAGTCCTATTTGGGAACTCCTGAAAATCTTTAAACATCCACGTTTAGAGTCCTTTTTGAACATTCCTTGAAATCTTTAAAAAAAATCTGAGGTTACAGTTCTTTTTAGGACCTATTGAAAATATTTCAAAAATCCACGTTTGGAGTCCTTTTGGAGAAGTCGTGTAAATCTTGAAAAATCTCCGCATACAATATTTTCTGAGTTTTTTTCTCCTAAAAAGCTATCTCCTGACTTTTTTAAAGACCTATCAAAAACTTCAAAAAAAAAAACACTTTTGGAGTCCATTCAGAGACTTCCTGAAAAATCCATTCATGAAGTCCTTTACGGGGTCTTTTAAAAAATTTGGAAAAACATCTCTAGAGTCCTTATAGGGGCTAACTAAAAATTTAAAAAGAAAATTTGGAATCCTTTCAAAGACCTTCGGAAAATTTTCAAAAAAAACGCACATTTAAAGTGCTTTAATCGGCCTTCGCAAATCTTTAAAAATACACGTTTAGAGCACTTTAAGGGGCTTCTAATAACCTTTGAAAACTCTACTATTAGTGTACTTTAAGCGGCTCCTAATAATCTTTGAAGGACTCCACCTTTAGGGATTTCTAAAAATCGTTAAAAAATCCAGATTTGGAGCCCTTTAAGGGGTTCCTACAAAATCTTTAAAAAAAAGCTACGTTTAGATTCCATTAAGCGGCACTTAAAAATCTTTAAAAAAAAACTACGCTTAGAATTCTTTTTAGGACCTCCTGAAAATGTTTAAAACAAAAAAATTAGAATTCTTTTTAGGACCTCTTTTTTTAAAACTCTTGAAAATTAAAAAAAACACATTTAGAGTGGTTGAAGTTGAAGTCCACGTTTACAGTCCTTTTTCAGACCTTCTGATTTTTTTAAAAATCCACATTTAGAATCCTCTTAGAGACCTCGTGAAAATCTTGAAAAATCTACGCTTACAATCTTTTTTGAGTTCCTTCTCTGAAAAAGCTACTTTTAGAATTTTTTTTAAACGTCTATAAAAAACTTAAAAAATTTGGAGTTCACTACGGGTATCCTAAAAAGCTTAAAAACAATACTAGAGTTCTTTTAGGAGCTACCTAGGAATTTAAAAAAATCCCCATTTGGAGTTTTTTTAGGGACCTTAAAAGGGCCGTTAAAAAAATTATAAAAAAACGCTTAAAGTCCTTTGTAGGCTCTCTAAAACAAATTCACATTTGAAGTACATTTTGAGATCTCCTTAATTTCTTGAAAAAAAGTAGTTCTTAACCTTCCGTTTAATACCTCTAACAGTTTTGAGAAAATTAAAATTTTAAGCCCTACCCAAAACTGGAAAAAATCCTTCTAAAAATCGTAAGAAAGCGTAAATAGTCATTTTTGAGACTCTTATTTAGAAACCCCATATAACTCTTAGAAAAATCCAAGTTTAGAGTCCTTTTTGGGACGTCCTAAGAATATTGAATAAAACTTTCTAAAACTTAAAAAATCGTCTTGACTAAAATTCTAAGAAAATCTTCTAGCACTTCATAAACTCAGCGTTTTTCGCGGTCTTTTAAAAATCTCAAAAAATCCACGTTGGTTATACTTTGCGGAAGTTCTAAAAACTATTAAAACTCCGAGTTACTAGTCCACACTTCATGTCCTTCAAAAAATCAATACCTTCCATTGATTATTCTTTTTCAGGGTATCCGAAAAAATTATTAAAAAATTCACTTTGGATTGGTTTGGTAGTGTGCTAAAAAATTCTTTAAAATTCGCGTTTTGAATTAAAAAACAAGTAAAAAAACATTAAGTTCGGCCGGGCCAAACTTTTAATACCCTCCACCCTAGGGTAAAAGAACATTAGAAGAAATGTGGCAAAAAACATTAAAATGCCGAATATCGGGAGGTACCGTTATATAGGGGCTACACCAACACGTGCACCTATAATTACAATGTTTCGCCACACGAACTAGGACCCGTTATGACCCACAAATACCAACTTTTACACAAATCAGTGAAAAAATGTGGCATAAATCATCAAAATACCGAATATTGGGAGGTACCGTTATATGGGGACTATACCAGAACGTGGACCTATACATGCAATGTTTTGCCACACGCTCAGGGACCTGTTGTGACCTACAAATACCAATTTTCAGACAAATCCGTGAAAAAATGTGGCATAAATCATCAAAATACCGAATATCGGTAGGTTCCGTTATATGGGGGCTATACCAAAACGTGGACCTATACATGCAATGTTTTGCCACACGCTCAGGGACCCGTCATGACCTACAAATACCAGTTTTCAGATAAATCCGTGAAAAAATGTGGCATAAATCATCAAAATACCGAATATCGGTAGGTTCCGTTATATGGGGGCTATACCAAAACGTGGACCTATATATGCAATGTTTTGCCACACGCTCAGGGACCCGTCATGACCTACAAATACCAGTTTTCAGATAAATCCGTGAAAAAATGTGGCATAAATCATCAAAATACCGAATATCGGGAGGTACCGTTATATGGGGACTATACCAGAACGTGGACCGATATATCTCATTTTCAATACCAACCATCCTAGAGACAATACACACACTTGTGCCAAATTTCAAAGGTCTACGTCAAATAATGTGGGCTCTATCGTGATTTCAACAGACAGACAGACAGACGGACAGACAGACAGACAGACAGACGGACAGACGGACATCGCTAAATCGTCTTAGAATTTTATGCTGATTATGAATATATATACTTTATGGTGTCTACGACGAATATTTAGAGGTGTTGCAAACGGAATGACAAAGTTAATATACCCTCCTACCCATGGTGGAGGGTATAAAAATAATAAAAATCCTCGTTGGATGACAATTTTGAGGATCCTAACAATGTTTTAAAAGTCCACATTTGGTGCCCATTTTGAGACCTCCTAATTTTTTTAATCCACATTAATTGTCGCAGTGGGTCATATTTATAATTTTTAATAAATCAAACTTTTTAAAAATCCAAAAAATTTCCTTTTGGTATTTTAAGCTCCTTTTAAAATCATCGAATGAAATCGTAATCCTTTGTTGATGTATATGAGGGTATGAGTAATAGAAGTATAAGTTGTTCTTTCAAAATTTCTACTCACAATGTTGTTGAAGCCAATGAGGTATTCTTGTGTTTAACATCACCTTCCACAGCGACTCCGGCACGATCGCAGTTGGCCGCCAAATTCGGTACCAAATACATAACCTTTTGCAAGCTGGAACCCGGATTTAGAGGACACCCCTCGGCACTTTCCGAAAATGCAATTGTATTACGGAACTGGCCATTTTGGAAGAGTACAACATCAATGCCCTGCTGGACCATGGCCTTGATTTTCTTCACAACCTTATTGGAGTTGTTGCGCACGCAAATATTTATGGCAATCTTTTCGCCATGATGATACAGCTGCTTGTCCAATGTCACCTCCAATTCCAATTCTCCAGGCGACAGCAGGAAATCCTTGCGTACCACAGTGCATGGTTGGATACCCTGTTTGGTGGGTGCATATTGCACTTTACGAATGCCCAAATTAATGGTACTACGACGATGAGTACGATCACAATCATTTTCACCGCCAAAGACCTTAACGAAATATTGGACACCACATGGCTGGGAGTTGTCGTTGGCCTTTTGTTGTAGCACAACCGAAGCGGGGGAGCTTGGCGGCATTTCCATAACAAACGGGAATGCATTCGAACCCAATTTCTTGAGTAGACGCTCCTGCATTTTGGTCAGTTGTATGTCCACCTTTTGTTCGGGGTGGACTTGTTGCGACACCAAAATTAATTCCTTGGAAAAACGTAGACCAATCAGTTCGTCATCTTCACGGCCATAACGGAAATTACAAATCAGCTGAACGAAGATTTTGCGATTCTGGCGAACGTATTCATCGTCCAGGACAATGATGCCATCTGTAAGGGTATGAGAAATTTAGATGGTTAGAAAAATTAACAATTAATAAAAATTAACAATAAAAATATTGAGATTTCAGTAGCCGATAATAAAATCGATCAAAAATGTTTATTTTTATACCCTCAGTCATATAGATGGAGAGGGTATATATCTTTTAATACCGCCAAAACGTGCCTCATCGAAATTAGTGTTTTAAACCCTAGGTCTCTTTGGACCTAATTCGTTTCAGGACATTTGGAGTCGATCTAGCGATGTCCGTCCGTCTGTCTGGCTGGTGCGCACGAAAACTCTCGAGGAGGTATCCGATTTGACCCAAACTTAGTATATAGTAATAGCACAACATCAATGCCCTTTGATCGAGTTCGAAGATGGGCAATATCGGTGCACTTCTTCCAGAACCTCCCCTACACAGAAAGAGAAAGGATGATCCGATTTTTCTCCAATTTTGCAAATCTTAATATATACATCAGTGCTAGGTCAGTTACGAAAATGAACAATGTCGATATCAAGTACCTCTACCACAAAAAGTCAACATTTTGTATAATTACACATCACAACATTTTTATTATTCAAAGGCCTGGTGTGAAGATGGAATATATCGTTTCACTCCTTCTAGTACCTCCCCCACAAAGGATCAAAATTTTGAATATCCCTGAAGTTCTTATAACGCGAAATTAACATCCGATTCCATTCAGACTTAGTAAATCGCAATATTTCTATTAACACAAAATCTGCAATAAAGAAAATAGAGATCGGACCAGTCCTTCTGGCATCTCACCCACAAAGGGTCGACGTTTTTCATAACCAAAACGATTATAAAGTCCGAAATAAACATCCGTTTCTCTTCATATTTCACACATCCCATTATTTCTACCAACACAAGATATGTTGTGAAGATGGGATATATCGGTCCAATCCTTATTGTACCTCCCCTCCAAAAATTTAACATTTTAATATCTGTGAAGCTCATATAACGCGAAATAAAAGTCCGATTTCATTCAGACTTGGTACATATCAATATTTCAACCAATACAAGATCTGTTGGATCGATGGTAGAGATCGGACCATTTCTTCATTTTTTCCGACTCGAAATTTAATGTGCAGATGATATACAGGATGAGATGAAAAAACTGCAAATAATTTCAGACTTCTGTCATTTCTAAGCCACTCGTCCGACAGCTTTTAAAATTATTCCAGTGACAGCTCATTATATTGTTTATAAGCGTACAAAAATATTTTTGTTAGAATTTTCCAGAAAAAAAGTTATTTGTGATGGAATTCAAGCGTGATAGTGTGATTTCTTTATATTTGGCTGGAAAACCACAAATGGCTATCGGTAGAGCACTCCAGCAATTTGGGTCTCGTACCATCGCTCGATGCCGTGATACTGGTAGCGTAGCCCAACGTCAAGGAAGTGGACGAAAGAAAACAGCAACATCATCAGAAATGGTTCGAAAACTAAAGAAGCGACTTGATCGAAACCCGCGTCGCAGTCGCCGAAAAATGGCTCGTGTGCTGAACATATCGCAATGCTCCATTCGGCAAATATTGAACAAAATGAGCTCGGGGTAAAACCAATAAAATTCCAAAAAAAGCAAGAACTTACACGGCAACAGAAAGAAGATAGACTCACAAGAGCTAAAGATTTGTTTCGCTTGGCCGAAAGTGATGAACTGCCGAAGTGATGAAAAACATTAAGTTCGGCCGGTCCAAACTTTTAATACCCTCCACCTTAGGGTAAAGGAAACATTAGAAGAAATGTGGCAAAAGCTATTAAAATGCCGAATATCGGGAGGTACCGTTATATGGGGGCTATACCAAATCGTAGATCTACACATGCAATGTTTCGCCAAAGGAGCTAGAACCCACTATTACCTACAAATACCAATTTTCAGACAAATCCGTGAAAAAATGTGGCAAAAATCATCAAAATACCGAATATCGGAGGTACCGTTATATGGGGGCTAAGCCAAAACGTGGACCTATAATTACAATGACTCGCCACACGAACTGAGACCCATTATGATCTACAACTACCAATTTTCAGAGAAATTCTTGAAAAAAATGTGTCAAAAATAATCAAAATACCGAATATTGGGAGGTACCGTTATATGGGGACAATATCAAAACGTGGACCTATACATACAATGTTTCGCCACACGAACTAGGACCCATTATGACCCACAAATACCAATTTTTAGACAAATCAGTGAAAAAATGCGGCAAAAACCATCAAAATACCGAATATCGGGAGGTATCGTTATATGGGGACTATACCAGAACGTGGACCCATATATCTTATTTTCAATACCAACCATCCTAGACACAATACAAATTGCTCTGCTAAATTTTGGCGCTCTACGTCAAATAATGTGGGCTGTATCGTGATTTCAACAGACAGACAGAGAGACAGTACAATAATGGTGTTTGACTTTGTTGCATTTTTTTTATATAACCCTGTATGTCTGCCAACCTCTTCTGGTTCCTCGCCCACAAAGGGTCACAATTTTCAATATATACAGCAGCCGTCTATTTATTTCTCTCAACCAAAAAATTTATACGAATATTGAATTTATCGGATTTTGGATGTAAATGTTCCATTTTCTTGTAACCGAAGTGTGAAAAAGGAATTCTTCGGTCCACTAAATCTGTTACGAAATCTAATACATTTTCTAAAAATTATCACAGATCTCATGAAATGAAGGAAATTTGGCACATCGCAATATTTATATAATATTTATTTAAAATTAAAATGGACAATATTGGCCCATTCCTTCATAATCATAACAAAAGTCGAAATATATTGAAATAATCGAACGCTGGGTGGGGGTATACATCTGTCTGCAAATCCGATTGATTACCTTGTTTTAAATAGTTTTTTTTTTTTTTTTTTTAATATCAATATATAAAAATGTTCATAACTTCATTTTGTTGTCGTCCTCGTAGAACCTTTAAATATTTGCTTATTTCGTAATTTTCTCCCCCTGGTTTAATTGGGTTACCAAAATCTTAGCTGGCACGTTTCGCACTTTTATGGTTTCATTGAAACCATTTCAATTTCGCCAACAAACAATTCCAACACTTTGTACATATGAATATCCACTTATAACAACAACCACTAATTTCCGAACATCTATTCAGGACAACCTACCAACTGGCTCCACCTGGGTCACCGAATCCACAAACTCACGCCTGTTCATGTACAGGGTGATCATGTTGTTGGGCGATGCCTTTTTAAAGACTTTAAAATTTACAACCATTTTGATAGAGTTTTTTTTTTTTCTTTGACTTAATTAAATTTTACGAAAATCAAAAAAACGTTGAATTAAAAAAAATTATACATAAAACTTTTGTTCGTTCGTTTAAATGAGTGAGGGTGGGATTGTGTGGTGTTTGCAACAAAACAAAAAAAAAATGTTTGTTAATTTTTTTTCTTCTTTTTTTTCTCGTTTCTCCAAAAAATTTTAGTTGCACAGCACTTATATTCACGATTTCTAAAATGACTTTGAATTAGTTTTGAGAATTAGACCAACCTTTATACTGTTTTTCTTTCTTTCGTTCTATGGGTATTTATTTAATTAGTTTTCCAAATGGGGAAATGGCAACAACTATGGAAAATGCACAAGAGGACCAGAATGAATGAAGAAATGAAAACCAAAAGTGATATGCGTTCGGTAGTGAAGACCTGCAGAAAACACTTTCCACAATGTGGTAGAATACGGAAAAATATATATTTTTTAAATATTATTCAATATATACATGTAAATATTGAGATTAGAATTTTCCTCAGCATATAACACATCAGTTCTATTGCCTGGGCTTGAAAAATCATCCAATTTTCTGTGTATATGATTTTTTTGATTTATTTTGATTTGAGAACGTTCTCTCTCTATAAAAATAAAATTCTGCTTCGGATTTGCTTAACCAAAAATCACATAAAAATTTTTAGTTGTAGTTAGAATATTCCACTCTGAATAAAAGTAATTACAAAGTTCTTTCATAAGTCAAGGGATGCGAATTATTCAGATTTTTCAATTTATTAAGGTATTGCTATTGTAGCGATAACATCCTTTATAGAGCGATCAACTAAGAGAAGAGAAATTTGTTATATGTAGTATCAGCCTAAAAGTATGCTTTAGGTCAATGAACAGGTTGTTTCATTATATTTTAGTACTGGAAATTATGGGAAATTTTCTGTCACTCATCTCTGCGCACTCTGTCACATCTCATCGGTTTCGAAAAAATATGTTTAAGTTATCGATAGAATTTTGACTCCCTCAATTAATAATATTTCGTATAAAATTATATCACGAGCTATTGGTGCTGAATTTTTGCGCAGGATTAAACATGGTTTGAGGTATTTAAGTGCTTCATAACCCAACAGCTGCGTACCCTCAGCATATGTTCATTGATTTATTGATTTACGTTATGACCATTCAAACTGTTGACCCTTCATGTGAGAGATTTCGAAGGAGTGGGTTAATATTTTGAACGAGAATATATGGGGTCTGAAATGTATATTTCGAGGTGCTACAAATGAAATGACAAACTTAATATACCTTCCAAACTATTGTGAAGGATATAGAAATGTATGGCGATTTAGCGATGTCCGTCTGTCTGTATGTTACTATCACAATAGAGTCCACATTATTTAATCCAGAACTTTGACATTTGGGACGATGGCTATATTGTTCCATATTTAGGTATACCTCCCTTATTACGGTACCTCTCGATTGTGGGTATTTTGAAGGTTTCACAATTTCATACGAATTTCAAACCATATCAGCTGAAACTTTACTTTTCATGTATCCTGCAAAAAAAATTGCTGCTGGTCCTATATAAAAGTACCTTTGAAGATTTCTGACAAAATTTCCAAACTAAATTAGTTGCAACTTCACATTTGGGGTTCTAGAAAGGTCCGATCTCTCATTGCGAAAGATATTCGATTCAAGTCCACTAATTGGTATAGCACCCATAGACCTCTTTGGGCCAAATCCGTTTCAGGACATTTGGAGTCGATCTAGCGGTGTCCGACCGTCTGTCTGTCAGGCTGGCTGATGCGCCAGCGCACGATAATACTCGAGCGAGTAACCAATTTCTTTCAAACTGGGTAGATATCAAAATTTCTATCAATACAAGATTTGTTGTGTAAATGGTAGATATCAACCCATTCCTTCCGACTCTACCCCCCCCCCCCCCCAAAGGTTTAAAATTTTGAATAACCAAAACCACTATAAAAAGAAATTGAGCATACAGTTCTCTTAAAATTTCACATAGTCTAATAGTTCTTCTAAAACAAGTCCTGGTATGATGAGAAAGGAAGATCCATATATACTTTCCTATGTGGGAAACCAATATTTCGAGGTGTCACACAATTTTTGGCCCAATCAAACTTATATTACCCCCAACACATAGTGTTGTAGGGTATAAATAGGTTTGAGCATTTTGTTTTTTCAAAATCTTGGACCCTATGTGGGTGAGGTACCAGAAAAAATGATCCGATCTCTACCATCTTTATAACAGATCTTGTGTTAAAGGAAATAATGAGATGTGCCAAGTCTGATTGGAATCGGATGTTTATTTCATGTTTTATGAGCTCCATGAATATTCAAAAGGATGGCCCTTTTTGGGTGAGGTACCAGAAGGAGTGGACCGATACATTCCATCATCACAGCAGATCTTGTGTTAGTAGTAATAATGGGATATATGAAGTATGAAGACAACCGGTTGATTATTTCGGATTTTATGATCGTTTTAATAATTTAAAATTTTGACCCCTTGTGGGGGATGTACCAGAAGAATTGGAATTGATATTTATAACAGATCTTGTGTTGATGGAAATATTAAGATGAATGAAAGTCTGAATGGAATCGGATGTTAATTTCGCGTTTTATGAACTTCATTGGTGCTCAAAATTTTGACTCTTTATGGAGGAGCTACCAGAAGGAGTGGACCGATATATTCCATCTACACTCCAGTCCTTGCGTTAATAAAAATATTGTGAAGCACGATTGTCTTAATTGCACACATACATCATATTTTAAAAGAGTTGTAATTTTTCAATTTTTCAAAAAAAATATACAAAATAATATTTTTTTAATGAAATAGCATATGCCGACTACTGGCAAATAGACATGCCGAGCATTGGAAAATGGTGCCGACTACTGGCAAAAAACTACTATTTTGGTAAAATTGCAAATTTTGCCAATTTAATAAAAAGAAATTCAATTGTTGTTTATGATTTCGAAAACTAAACAAAATATGCAATCTGAACAACTTTATTTTTCTGCAATTGAATGATTTCACTCAGAATTTATCAGCAGCCTAAAAGTATGCTTCACAGTTCATAAACTGGGTGTTCCTATGTATTATCACATATGGGTATTTAAAGAATGGATCCTTGATTTATGTATTTACATTTTTTTTACAAAAATAGCTTCAAATGTATAAAATGCATTTTTTATCTGAAAAATTTAAAACAAATATATATTTTTTTTTTTTTTTGAATGTCATATTTTCGCCAATTTGGTACTTTTCTATAAAAATGATATACTAACATTTAAATGAATTGAACTTTCGAATATGTATATATTTTAGGAGTTTTCGAGTAAAGCGTATACCAAAGAACCGCCTATCATCGTCCTGATAGCATAACACGCATCATAAGTCTATATTTTGGAATTGTGATTTTACCATAATATATAGGGTCCGGAAATCATGAATTAGAAAAAATATGTTTGGACTTAAAATAATTGAACGTTTTTTCTTAAGGATATTGAAAACTTATCTTACATAATACACTTATATTTGAAGGAATTATTCGGCAGTATGACAAACGGTTTGTCAAACCAAATATACCACCCCAAATAAATTACCATCGGTACAGATTTGCATGTTAAAACAAATGGATAAACATGTTTTTTTTTTTTTCTTGTCGTCTTCTTCCACCTTTGTTTTGTAATTTTCAATTTCATTTTCACCTGTTGTGGACGAAAAATAAAACGGTTTTCTTTTACCGCAGCACAAGAAAAAGCGCACTAAATTGTTTACAAATTAAAAATAGAAAATAAGATTTCTAAGGTTTCGGCAGCATGTCATGTTTTCCCACTGGTATGTGGCCCCCAAGCTGGCTACATCGTCATGGTTTACATGAACCTCAGCTATTGATTTACTGACAACTGAACTTGATGACCCGCGTACACTTGTCTATCCGTCTAGGATGACAATTTAATGCGTGGGTGTGTGTGTGTGTGTACGGAGACGAATTGGGGATGGGGAGATTGACGCATTAGCAATACTTATATATATGAATTAACTTTGTCACTTACTGTCTTTATTGACTTATGAGAGATTTGTGGCTGACTGGTCACACAAAATGTGTCGAGGGATGATTTAATTTGAACGACAAAAAAAAAAAAACAACAACAGCAACAACATGAAAACGTGCACAACATAGTTTTGACAATTTGATTAAATTTTGTCGGAATCATGGCATTCGCTGTGAAAGTGTGGTGTTAAGACGTCGTTTCTTTTTCTGGTGGAGAGGAAACTCCGCGGTTTTTTGTCTACAGAAAAATAAAAATTTTAAAAATTATATAGTTTGTTTATAAAAAGTTTGAAAACGTAACACTCAAAATGCTTATTACGAAAATATTTACAAAAGTGGTAAGAAAAACAAACAACAAGAAAATATAATAACTATTATGACTTAAGACACTTGTTGAACATGTGTGCAGCTTAGTAAAGGGTGGGAACAGATTAAAAATGTTGTGGTGTTAAGAGTGAATACATTTAGAATTGTTTTCCTTAAAATAGAATATTATGGGTATTATTTGATGTCAGAGAAATTATGTGCCCGAATAGACGTCAATAGGATAAATAAAAAAAATTAATAATCGAAGCCGAACATATTACACTGTGCAACACGAAATATGAGTATTATTGGTTATTTGGTTCGTCATTCCGTTTGTAACTCATCGAAATAATAATTTCAGACCCAACAAAGTATATATATTCTTGATCAGCATAAAATTCTAAGACGAATTTTCCGAGAATTATTTATAAAGGCAGATAATTATTTATATGGGTCCACGATATCGCATATTCCCCATACAACGGAACCCACCAATATTCGGTATTTCGATGATTTTAGCCACACATTTTAATTGAATTGTCTAAAATTACACACAAGGAGTTCCTTGTGAGTACTTTATCCCCTGGAAGAGAAATATCTATATAGGTCCACGATATCGTATATCCCCCATACAACGGTATCCCTCAATATTCGGAATTTTGATGATTTTAGCCACATTTTTCAACGGAATTATCTGAAAATTCACACAAGGAGTTCCGTATGAGTACTTTATCGCCTACAGGAGAATTGTTTATATAGGTCCACGATATCGTATATCCCCCATATAACGGCACCTCCCGATATTCGGTATTTTGATGATTTTAGCTAAATTTTTCAATCGAATTGTCCGAAATTGCACGCAAGGAGTTCTTTA